CTTAAAAAGGGTGGTCTGGGGTACGGTTCAAGTGAACCCCGGTACGGTTCGCTGCTGATGTGAACTCAATCGTTCCAAATCACGGAAGTGAACCATTATTAATGACGTATTATTTGATAAAAATGTGTGTTTGTGTGTGTGTTTCACTCACTTTCCTGACGAGCGTGACTGACGCGCTGCAAACAGAGAGCTGTATTTCTCATTTCTGTTCGCCTTTAGCGTTCTTTAGAGCATTTGCAGTACATTCGTAAGACAGACGTAGGTGCCGTTATGTACTGAAGCTTTGGAAACAAAACGAACTGGGCAGGGGGAGGGGGGAGCAATCGAACTTGGGTTCGGACCAGGCAAGCGAACCAAGTGTGAAAGCACCCTTAGTATCCAACATTCCACACTTAGTTTTTCAGTTAAATAAGTGCATCATTTGGGTATTTGAAGTGGGCTTTCTTTTTCCCTTTTAGAATTTTAAGTGGGAACACTTCCACTAAAATTGGCATACGAATTGATGCATACTGTATAGGACGCACCTACACAGGTTTGAAATGACATGAGGGTGAGTAAATAACATTTTTCATTTTTGGGTTAACTGTCCCTTTAAAAATATTCAAAATACTACAATTTAATTTATTAAAACACTACAATATATCAGTAAACTGTACCAATTTGGATTTTAAAAATGGTTCAAATCTCCAGTTCTATGATTTAAGTAACTTCGTTTTATTTTTAACGCGCTGAAAGGAACTGAACGGTACTGCTGCAAAACCGGTGTAGTGCCGAAATTTGCACCCTGCCAGATTATGCATCCCCTAGTATTGGTAGGTTTAGGGCAGGGGTAGGCAAGTTCGGTCCTAGAGAGCCGCAGTCCTGCAGAGTTCAGCTCCAACCCTGAAAAAAAAAACTCACCTGACTATAGCCTTAGTAATCCTGAAGACATTGATTAGCTTGTTCAGGTGTGTTTGATTAGGGTTGGAGCTGAACTCTGCAGGACTGCGGTTCTCTAGGACCGAACTTGCCTACCCCTGGTTTAGGGTTAGGTGTGGGGGAGGGGTTAGGATTAGGGGTGGGGTTGGGATTAGGCAATCAGGTAGCGACTTCAGAGGGGGTGCATAATCTGCCAGGGGTGCAGAATTCGGCACAACACCGGAAGTCATACCCATTTAGCCTCTCACAGGCCTTGAATAAAGTTGAAGGGTCATACAAACAAAGTGAATAAACCTTTAGTTCGTGTAATTGCTGGTACATTAAAGTCGTCAAGTGCTTGCAAGTACACTTATGAGAAAACAGATGTTTAAAGTGTGACGTTTTGAAACTTAACTGGAACAGAAGTGATTTCCACAACATGCAGGCGTGTTTCTAACCTCATGTACCTGCTGAAGCAACTATCTTGAAACATTTTGTCTAAACGATCAAAAGAAACAAAATAGTTAAATAATTTGAAGGGCAGTTTTTAAGCTATAATAAACAACTAAATGTTCAACTTCGAACACGAGTCACGTAAAACCACACGTATGACCGACGAAAACGTTAAATAATTTAAGCAAATATCAATCTGCATTACTAACAGGTAACTTTGGTGTCATTTTCACACAACAGCTCCTAACAACAACAGCTTGGACTTCAAACCATCAAACATTCCAAGCTTGGCTGTGGATAACACCTTTAGCATATTAGCATTCCTAGTGCTAACTCATCTTCCATCTAAGTTGCTTCTAATTTATTCATAACTACCTAATTATGACTTGAACATCTCTTCGCATAGCGTTTTAACACTTAGTCTATCCGAGAAAAAAAAAACTCGAAATGAACTCCCGATATCCCTTTAACAGGTAGTTCTGTCAGATTCAACAGCAGCCGTGCTAATTCAGAGCTGGCTAACAGCTAGGCTAAGCTAACAGCCTAAACCTCATTGTTCCGAACGGAGACGAGCGCTAGCCTGTTCCTGAGGTCTGTGCGACATGCTCAGCATCTAGCTGACAGGAACCAGCTTGCTGGTTTGTTTCGGACATAATCTTAGAAATGTATGATAGTTTTTGGTGCATCTTCATGCCGCTATAAGCTCGTGCAAGTACGAGTATAAAGCAAGCAAACGTTTCAATATAACGTTAATACAGTTCTAGCATAAATATGGCTAATATCTGGCAAACAAACATGTTACTCCTGTGTAACTTAAATGCACTGATATTCGAGTAAAAAACTATTAATGTACATGTAACGTTAGGTGTTTGTAAAGCAGTGTTAGTGAACATTAGCAACCATGCAGGTTGTAAACAGCTGTAACGTTACTGCTGTCGTCTGGGCCTCACTCAACACATTAAACGTTACATGGTTAGCGAAACCGAGCAAGGCAACAAACTCGGTGTCTAAATCACTCCAACAGTGTCCATGTAACGTTAACCATATCACTCACCCCACGAGCCTTAGTCATAATTAGAAAGATTCCACAATTCATATTAATGATTGCATCCACCGAACTGGTACGGGCCGTTAAAGGGAAGTTCATCCTTGCAGTACGCGCAGGGTCGGTTGGGTTTTGAACAATTTTAGGTCATAACAGCAATGTTAGCTACACGCTAACGTTGAATTAGCCGAGCAGACAACATATGATAACCAATTCATAACTTGAGCGATTTGTGAGACTGTAGCGAAAACCCTATCGAGGCGAGAAGACGCGTTACCTCGATCCTGGAAAAATTACGTGCGGATGATCATTTTCGTCGTATTTCTTCGTTCTGATCTTGACGGATAAAAAAGGTCGCTTTCTCCCTCGGTTCGGTTTAGATTTTTCAAAATAAAATGGCGACTGTCACGGCACGCGCGCGCACCCAGTTCGGCGCTTATTGAGCTCGCGCACGAACTCGCGGCTACGCAACATAATAAATGACGCGCGCTGACACTCCTCCATTCCCATGCGCACAAATGTGCAAAACGATGGAGGCTTCGCGCAGATGCGAACGCACACCTGTTGCTGTGCGAACGGATCGCCAATTACGATTAGATTGGATATCAGTTGGGGTTTTGCAGGAATGTATTGTTCAATTTTTTTCTCTAATTAACCCAAAAACACTTTTATGAAACACACATTTATGATCGTCACACACACACACACACAATGTTGGAGTGCTGTTAACAATTTTTTGGTCCATCATATGTATATATATATATACACACACATACATATATATATATATATATATGTGTGTGTTAGTGTATATATATATATATATATATATATATATGTGTGTGTG